CAGGCAGAAAATTTTGTCGGTCAATAATTTCGGGCCAGCAGGACTATTTTTGTTTGAATAGGCTGTACTGTAGCTGGATACCTCGACATAATTATGCTCATGTCCATCTCCTGACGAATTCATACCATGCAAGCATTGGTGGTTCAGTGGTAGAATCCTCGCCTGCCACGCGGGGGGCCCGGGTTCGATTCCCGGCCAATGCATCTTTTTTTACTTCTTTTTTTTCCCCTCCCCTCAAGCATTCATATCATAAGAACTTCGTACGGCATGTGAAGAAATTGACTCGCCTGCCGGGCCCGGGTTCGATTCCCGGCCAATGCATCTTTTTTTTTACTTCTTTTTTCCCCTCCCCTCAAGCATTCATATCATAAGAACTTCGTACGGCATGTGAAGAAATTGATAATTTCACGTACCGATCGAGCTTGGCAAGGAAGGATGCCTTGAGTGCAAGGAACTCGGCGGACATGTCCTTGGAGAAAAACTTTAAATTTGTAGTCTCCACAGTCTCCAAGCCCTGTCAACATGGTCATGGTCATGGTGGTGGTGGTGGTGGTGGTGGTGGTGGCGGTGGTGAGGATGGTCAGAAACACATAGAGCACACAGAGCAGCAACACAACGTGTGGTGACAGCCAGATCAGGAGTAGTCATGGCAGCAAGAGTCAATAACCCCAAGAGTGTGCAACTGGGGTCTGGCTGCTGTAGGCCCACTGCGCGGCGGAATTCCAACATTACGTCACACCGCTGAGGCACAGAGGACAAAACTCCGCATTCCGCGGTGCTTGGAACCAGGGAGTAGTACAAGCGCAACGAACGTGTACATCATTTTTGACGTAATGTTGGAGTTCCGCCGCGCGGATCCCCACGTACAGAGTTGCACACTCTTGGGGTTATGGACTCTTGATGGCAGATATACAAGCTAGCACACGAAGAAACGAAGCCTGTTGAAAATCTGATGCGGCCACCATTACTTCTCAAATCAGTACATAGTGATAATGTGACGAAGCACAACAGTGTCAATTTTGAACTGGCTTTGTCTCTTCGTGTGCTTATACGTTTCCCTCCGACTAAGTCTCTAGATCTACAAGCATCGGAATACGCCATATTCACATACTGTGTTTTAACACTTAGAATTCACCCAAAAAGAGTCGGTGCGGCTATATAATATACTACGATCGTGAAACGAACTGTGAAATACATATACCTGGATTTCATGGGAATTGTGTGCATGTATTTAATGACAAAAAATCTTGGTGCGGCTTTAACTCCGAAAAGACGGTACTGATCTTATCCTATCATATCTCTGTGCTGCGCTGATGAGTCCACAAAGGACACAACAGTTTCGTTCGCAGATTGAGTATTTCGCTCCTGCTCTTGTAGTCACTCAGGTGTAGCGCCTTTGCTGTTTGCGTTACCAAGAGTACATAACCCCCCAGAGTGTGCAACTCCACTATGGGTGCTGTCCCGACAGAATTTCAAGTTGACGTCATTTTGATGATGCAATGCGCACTGTACACGGATTATCAGACGAATCCGGAACCTGTGGTTGACCGAAGCCGATCGATCCTGTACAAATTATTGCAAAGAAAAACGTGTGATGCGTTGACACCCGTACACATGTTGTAAATCACTGCTGCAAGGAGCATTGCGTCATAAATAATGACGTCAACTTGAAATTCTGTCGGGACAACAGGGTATGTGGGAGTTGCACACTCTGGGGGGTTATGTACTCTTGGCGTTACGCAGAGCTCACCGACTGGTCAGTTTGAGCACTCTGGCAAGGTACGTTCTGGCATGGTTTAAATCTGGCCATAAAACAATGAATACAGACTGTCCACCCTCCTGGTCACCCTGAATCTGGACACCCTCTGAAGCCGGTCTATGTTTTCTTTTCTTTTAAAACTGAAAAGATCTGAACGCACCCGACGTGATGCAGATGGGCATAAAGCTGCCATGGCAGCCAAGACGTGTGTTATCGGGTACTACTGGGTGACATGTCGCATGAGCATGAGCTTGCGAGCTTAGTGTCGGATGAGTGCACGCATCAGCCATCTTTTCCGCGTGATCGATCGTGATCCGATTTGGCTTTCTATCTACAAAAGGAATTTTGGTACGCATGCCATACTGTAATACCAAGAGTGGATAAACAAGAGTGTGCAACTCGCGGATGGGTTGGCCCACGGCGGAATTTTTTGTTGACGTAATCTTTTCGACGACGCATGCGCTGCGAGCCTTTTGGAGAGTTTTCCCTCGTGCACTTGGCTGGGCTTTACACTACAAGGTCGGTGCCCAGCACGTGCTCTCACACTGCTCTGCGGCAGAATCCGCGTTTCTCTGAAAAAAGGTGACGTAAACAAAAAATTCCGCCATGGGCGGAATTGTGGGGGGTATCTGCAGATTGTGCAGGAGAGATCCAGAGTTGCACACTCTTGTTTATCTACTCTTGGTAGTACTCATATCCTACTGTAATACACATGCCATACAGTAATACACATGCCATACA